GGGACTATCGATGCAAATTAGCTCTTATCAGCAAACTTGGGCACATTTACATTATTTTGATATTGATTAATGTGCATTGTCCTTTTTCAAATAAATAAATAAATAAATATAGCATAAACAACAGAACATAAGTTTACTAAACTCTCGATCTCACTCCAAATCACAAAATCCATAGAATCCATTGAATTCTTCATCCTCGGTGTCACTTCTGAGCAACTCCACGCAACTTCGGTTATCACCGAAGTCCAGGCTTTGTCATCCAGTGAGCTCCAGGAAAGTTGCATGTTGCACCCTCCCAGTTCCTGTGAAGCTGTGTTCTCCATTCCCGCTTCCCGCCAGTCCCTCACAAGTTTCTCATTCAATTCAAACTTTCTTTCTGCTGCTCGATTACCATATTCTGCTGCAGATTTCACGACTTGCAGCAGGACAGCGGCTTTTTCTGACAGTCCTCTCGAAGCTGTCAGTGTGAAAATTTTAATATATAAGTCGCACTGGAGTTTAAGTCGCAGGAAACACTCAAACCATGAAAAAAAGTGCCACTTATAGTCCAAAAAATACGGTATTTGGGAAAACTACTACTCAAGTAAGAGTAACTTAAAGTTACACTGCGTGACACTTCTCTCTTGCTTTGTCTCCATGTAAATGAATGTTATTGCTTTGTTTAGAATGTTCCACAGTATAGATTAAACCTTTTTATCACAAGACAAACATTACAGTTCAGATCTGTGGAGCGTCCCTATTCACAAAAGGAATTAATGTATTTTTATGCAACACAAAAACAAGTAATGAAAAAATGCTATCATGGAACACTCCAGGCAAAGCAATAACATCTCCATGGTGACAAGTAGGAATCAAAATACACTAAACAGTTTGTATGAACCCCGGAAGTTACAGACTGCCCACCGGCCAATCAGCAAAGAGATCTGAAGCCATGACATCAAACTCAAGCGCCTGTCTGGGTCCCTTTTGTGGAACAGCACAACAGTAAACAAAGCGGTTGAGATCGATGTAGATAAAAACAGACATTCTGTGTTGGCAACGATTCCAGAGATCGAGGATTTAAAGCCGGAACAGACGTTATTGCCCTTCTTCCTATGGGATTTGGCGCGTTACATACGTCACGACCAAATAGCAGCGATTGGTTAAATTAAAAAAGTACCTGCCTACCGTCGAGCTAAAGAATCCTAATGCTGTGAGGTCAGATGGTTTCCACAAAGTGAAACCAGCTGATGAAACAGGCTATTAAATAGTAACTGTCAGGATGAAATATCTGATTTATAATTAAAAGTTAATGTAATTTGAAGGACAAAACATTAAATAATCTGGTATTTTCAAAGGATGCATGTAAAAATGAGATGAAACTAAATCATGTCTGAAGGAGCGCTGCAAGAAACACAAATGTTCAAATCATTTCAGATTGTCACATAAAGCTTTGGTCACTTGTGCATTTACTCACAGAGAGAAGAGGAACCAAAACTTTTACTCAAGTAAGAGTACTATTCCTTCAATAGAAACATTCTCAAGAAGGAGTAAAAGTATGCTGCTAGAAAAGTCCTCTGAAAAATACAATTTCGTTAAAAAGTGACTCAAGAAAATGTAACTGAACTACTCATCTCTGACACTAAAACATACAGACGGCAAACAGAGATTGTCTCAATTATAACCGCATAAAAATAAGGGAGGGTTTTGTTTCTGAGAATTCCAAATGCAGATGTGAGTTTGTGACTCACCAATATTGGGAAAATTCATCTTGTTGTGCAAAGTAATACACAAAAGTGATGATAAGTTAAACTGAGTATTTCTCAAACTCAGAGATCCTGACCACCCACAGTTTAGACAAATGACATGGAGTTTAGACATTTGAAATTGAAGTGTTTTCTCTTTCATTTTACTTCTTCAGGGTTTTAATTAATGTTTTACTCTTGGTTTTCTTTTATTAATACAACGTTTCAGTCACTCTGATCTTCCTCAGGTATAAGGAAAGCCCCTTCTGCTCCGAGTTTATAACCCTGCATTTGATTATCCTTCTGAATCGGTTTTCTGAGAAAGTTGACAAGAGACACAAATGACACGGTCCTTTTCCTGGGATGGCGCAACTCGGACTTCGGTGGTGGAAAAAGTAGATCGGGCAAGGATTCTGAGTCAGAATCCAAGATGCTGCGCCCACTGTGATGTGTAAATATGAAGTGTTTTCATTGTGTTTGGACACTTTGGTGGTTCAGTCACTCGTATCGTTGCAGTACTTTACCGTGTCCGTATCACTGCCTGAGGGTCTGGTAGTCGGTGTTGTGGTGAGTCCAACACGGAAACATAATAATATGGTACGCAAATCCGAGGTCCATGTGGGAGTCGGAAGATAATCGAACCCAGGGTGAGTTAAGGCACTGCCCCCTTGACCGTAATCATCCACAAACATTCACAATTAGACCTCAACATTACCGTATTTCCAGGCTATTAGGCGCTCTGGATTATAAAACGCACTGTCATTAAATGGTCTATTTTCGAACTTTTTTCACAAATAAACTGCACCGGACTTTAAACGAAACACAACAGTGTGATGGGTGAGTGGTTTTGTTTGTTTGTGGCGTTCACGGTGACTCTGGGCTTTGTTCAGTTGTGGCGTGTAGGGAGGGTGCTGTCTGGGACCGCTGGATTGTCGGTGTGTTCGCAGTGACTCAGTTGTTCAGTTGTGTCCAGAAGCGGCACATTGCACTGGCTTTTTCGGTTCGTTCCTCCGTTCCGTTCCTCGTCGGCGTGGAGTGATGAGTGTGTTTGCGGCTTTGTAGTTTACTGAAGTCGTGCTGGGACTCCCGAGTGGATTCGATTGTGGGGCGCGCAGTCTTTTTTTGATGGGGTTGGAGGTTTAAGAGCTTACCTAATAGCCCGGAAAATACGGTATACATAATTAACTGCACTAATCTGTCAGAAATTAAAACACATGGATAATAATTTGAAAAATATGAAGATTATTATCAACATTAAAAAGTTCATTTCATTATTCTAGCTAATTTTATCAAAATAATCAGCACATCGAAGAGTTTACATGAACCTCCCTCGTGGCTCAGAGGGAGGGCGTATATAAACTCTCTTCATTACAACACTATTTGGACTTCATAACATTACATTAAACAACAATTCATCATGTAAGTCTTTTGGGGTAAGAGTTTATACTGTAGAGTAAAAATCAACAGGCTTTGCGTTTTGGAGCAGGCACCTGTTTGATCCCACAGAAACACAGAGGAGACACGTCATGTTTCAGTTGGATAAAATCAACAAAAAACAGAGCCCAGCGGACGCATCTATAATTGTAATTAGTAAGAGGGGCAAGGAGAGTCTGCATGTTTGGAGAAATTGGAATGTACCAAGGCGTCGTGCAGACAGTGTTGAGAGTAACGCGTTATAAAAGTAATGAATTACTGTAATGCTTTGGTTTTTTGCTGTAATGCAGTAATATAAGTCATTAGAAGAAGAAAAAATTGCAATATTTTACTTGGTACAAATGTCAGCGAGATGTGTTACAATGCTTTTTCAACCTGGATTGAAGTGGTGGGTTTTTCGTTTTTTCTTCAGACAAATTCACTAAAATCACCGCAATATCAGCACTGGTGAAACGCCATCGTTACGGGTCCGAATGTCGGGACGGGCCCAGAGATACGTAGACCGTCGTGTGACCGCGGGCGAAAGGACCAACGCAGAGCTCCACGCTCCATGGGGCGAAGAGCAGCTGACACCCGATTGCACTTAGCGGACACCCTGCTCCACGGGCTCAGGGTTCTCTCAGGGGCGGTCCGAGATTCCAAGTTCTAGTCCAAGATTAGGCCTCGTTTGGTCCTGGTTTAGTCCTGGTTTAATCTTGGTTTAGTCCTGGTTTAGTCCTGGTTCAGTCCTCGGTTCAGTCTTGGTTTAGTCCTGGTTCAGTCCTCGGTTCAGTCTTGGTTTAGTCCTGGTTCAGTCCTCGGTTCAGTCTTGGTTAAGTCCTGGTTCAGTCCTCGGTTCAGTCTTGGTTTAGTCCTGGTTCAGTCCTCGGTTCAGTCTTGGTTAAGTCCTGGTTCAGTCCTCGGTTCAGTCTTGGTTTAGTCCTGGTTCAGTCCTCGGTTCAGTCTTGGTTTAGTCCTGGTTCAGTCCTCGGTTCAGTCTTGGTTAAGTCCTGGTTCAGTCCTCGGTTCAGTCTTGGTTTAGTCCTGGTTCAGTCCTCGGTCAGTCTTGGTTAAGTCCTGGTCAGTCCTCGTTCAGTCTTGGTTTAGTCCTGGTTCAGTCCTCGGTTCAGTCTTGGTTTAGTCCTGGTTCAGTCCTCGGTTCAGTCTTGGTTTAGTCCTGGTTCAGTCCTCGGTTCAGTCTTGGTTAAGTCCTGGTTCAGTCCTCAGTTCAGTCTTGGTTTAGTCCTGGTTCAGTCCTCGGTTCAGTCTTGGTTTAGTCCTGGTTCAGCTCTAGTTCAGTTCTGTTTTAGTCCTGATTTAGTCCTGGTTTAGACCTGGTTCAGTCCGGGTTCAGCTCTGGTTTAGACCAAGTTCCGTCTGGTTTTAGACCTGGTGTAGTCCTGGTTCAGTTCATATACGGCGCAAAAGTTTGTCATTTTCGCTCACTGATTGTTATTTGACGAAAGTTATTTTGGTGAGAGTAACTTAAAGTGCTGCAGTAGTTGTTTAATGTTTTACATTTTAAATGCAGTAATATTGTAATGTAACAAATTATTTTGAAATTACAATAACAAGTCATAAATAACACAGTTTTGAAGTAACTTGTCCATCTGTGCTCGCAGGTTTCTGCCTCTTCTACAGTTAAATATAGGTGGATATTTGAATATTTGGGACAATTCTGGGTCAGTCTTTAATATATTCCAGAATTTAATATATGCCAAATTCTGAAGTGAATACAGCGACCTTAAAAAGAAGTCTTCCTAAAAGCCAGATCTTCCTCCTCAGACAGGTGTGTCAAACTACAGACGACTTATTTTAAAGTGTTACCCCATTAAATAAAAAGTTTGTGTTAGATTCACTCACCATGACCATCCTGCAGGAGCCGTGTCGAGGCGCGGCCCTGACCCCGCCCCTGTGAGGCCCGAGGAGGTGAGGGGGCGGGGCTCTGTGCGGAGGCGGGACGGGCGGTCTGGGCTGGACAGGTGCAGGAGACAGGGACAGGGTCAGTGACAGGGGGACAGGAGCACGGCCCAGGTGCACGGGGGGGCACTGGGGGAGTCTCCGAAGACTGTGGGACGGGTACGGACCAGGAGAGGCCAACGATTCAGGCTGAAAGAAAAAAACAAAACAAATTGAGTTGGATATAATCATAAATACTACTTTTATATACTTTTGAATTGCTTTGAAATGGTAGAAATGTGCAGAAACCAAATGTTCCCAGTTTATAGAAAAATAAATCAATAAAATAAAGCTGCTCGCGGCGATGATGGCCCTCGCCTACGGCAAAATATGCTTCTCAGCCTCCCACTCATTTGGAATTTTTGAATTTTCCAGGGGGCGCTGTTGAGTCAGGTCACTTTGAGCTTGTTGCAATCCCAGTTTTATCGATTTTTTTGCTGGGCCAGTCGATTTGATACCCCCAAGTGAGACTTTTTGTTGACGTTTAGGGGTTCAAAATGCGATTATCTATGTGGGGAAAAAAAAGAATAAGAAGAAATCGGCGAAGAACAATAGCCCGAGCCAGTTACTTCACCAAAAATCAATACTCCTTTAAAGTAAAGTTACCCGACTGGCAAAATCCTAAATGAAAATTGAATTGAGTACTCTAACCTGTCGTAAAGTCACACTTTAAAGGTTCATTGTGTAACTTTTCAATCGCTTTTCTTCATGGAGATGCTATTGCTTTGTCTGGAATGTTTCACAGTTTGGCATTAAAACTTTCTATCTTTACAGAGACCAAACCAGACCAAGTTACAGGTCAGATCTGTGGAGAGGCGATCTCACTTACAGTCAGAATGAATGTTTTTTGTGTATGTTTGAGCTGTAAAACCACCTGTGAATGAAGAAATGTACGTAGAGCTGCTTAATGTCATACTGTGGAACATTTCAGGCAGAGCAATGACACATCCATAGAAACAAGCAACCAAAATGTTAAATAGTGCTTAATTTTTTTGCAGGAGATTCATCAAATTATAACAAGAATTAAGCTTAATCCAAATCCAGGCAGGTTTTTGATGAGGGAACAATGTTTTAAGCTCAAAAAGTCAGCTTTGCATAATAAGTATTTTAACAAATCTTGAATATGATTATTTCTTTTAGTGACTAAACCACCGCAACTCACCATATTACAAGAAAAATCAGCATTTTTACAATATTAATTTATACACTCCCTATCTAAATTACCGTATATTATGGACAATAAGGCACACTTAAAATCCTTTAATTTTCTCAAAAATCGACAGTGCACCTTATGTATTAATTCTGCTTGTGCTTACTGACCTCGAATTGATTTTATGTGGTACACGGCGCTCAAAAATCTGTCAAAATGTTTTAGTACAACTTTGGTAAATTACAAAGCCGCACCGCTTGATGGATTGTCTGAGCATTACAGCTACTGTAGTCAGGAGCCTCACTGAGAAAGTCCAACAGAAGTTGACCGCATCAAGGCACAAGGAGTGAGCCATTTTTTTCAGCGCTTACAGTTTATGCAAATTAGTGATGTGGTTTTAAGTTTCATTTCTGTAAAACATAAACAAATGCGCGCAAAGCTGCATTAAACACATGATTACTCAATGTATGTTTGAGTCGTCCTCGTAGGAAATACAAGAAACAAAAATATTACACATTCACCAAGACAGGGAGGCAACACCGGGCAAATTACGCCACGATCTGCCAATGGACCGTGGACGCCTGGACTAAGGGATCAGTCTGCTTTCGATAATCCTTCAGAATCAGTTTTCCGAGGAAGTTGCCTAACCACACTCGTGACGCACCTCTTTTCCTGGAACATCGCGACTCAGATCTTGATGGCGGAAAAAGTCGACTGAGCAAGGATTCCGAGTCAAAATCTAAGATGGCTCCGCCCACTGTGACATGTAAATATGAAGTGTTTTCATTGTGTTTGGACACTTTGGTGGTTTAAATGACAATTTCAGTCACTCGTATCACTGTCGTACTTTACCACGTCCGTATCACTGCCTATGGGTTTGGTAGTCGGTTTTATGGTGAGGCCAATATTGAACAAATACGTGATTTAACGGGTGTTAACGTCCCTAAGGTTGTAACGGAAGAGAAATCATAACAAAAAATGAAAAAGAAAATTTCAAATATTAAATTCATTAAAGTAGTCGGAACAGTCATAATTATAATCCACGTAGTCCAACACGCGAAAAATAATATGTTTCAAACTCGGATGTGACGTCAAATCCGAGGTCTAAATGGGAGTCGGAAAATAATCGAACACAGGGTTAGTCTCAAGTGTCGTCCGTCTGTTTCTCTTAATGCGTCTTATAATCCGGTGTGTTTTATGTATGAAAATAAACGAGAGAATTCAACATTATTGATATTGTGCCTTATAGTCCGAAAAATACGGTAAATATTATGAGCCTGTTGAATATTGTGATCAGAAACCGAGCTATATTTGGGTGGATCACATTTGAGACTGAACAACTGAATGAAGACCTGCTCTGTCTGTCTCATATCAGTAACGTCAGTCTCCTCTCCTCTGTTCTGCTCTGGAGGTCGTCACAGGTGCATAAATCAAGCGCTCCCTGCACCTCTGAGTGACCTTTTAAAATGAAAGAGAGGTTCTGCTCCTGTCTGCTCCTGCCTGCGCCTGTCAGACCGGACCCCACGCAGTCTATTGTAAACCCTCGTGTCTCTGGGCGAAACACATTCATTATAATAACAAAAGAGACAGGCTTTGTTTATGCTGTCGGCCTCTCATTCAATTCTCTGAAACAAAATGAACCAATTTAACTTTTCATTTTAGGCAAGTTTTCAGTCTGTTTCTTCTCCAGCAATAATAAGACAGACTGGCCCCCGGTTACACACTGTCGAAGGCATGATTTTAATGCACCGCCTAATCCTTTGGTAGAAAATGTCATATTAAATTATGAATGAAAGTTTTGTGTTTGAGCGTCACTTCTCGAAATGCTTTTTGTACATAACCCAAGGCACCTTTCTGATCATTTTAGTTTCAAAGTTTTACGCTCCTGTTGAATATTTTTACATTTCAGAAGTAGTAGCAGTAGAAGTAGTAGTAGTAAAAGTAAGTATATTGTTCCAAGTCATACAATTAAACTAGTTTAACTTCTCAAACTGAAATATTGCACACGTTAGGGCTGAACGATTTTAAGAAAAAAAACTGAATTGTGATTTTTCTGGCAGATATTGCCATTTTGATTTCATCCACGATTTTTTTCAAACCAAGTTTCAGTGCACATGAACATTTATAAACATCACAGAAACTTACATCATACCAGAGTACTGCACCGATGATTTGACGCCGGACAGTTTGCGCACATTTGTTTACGTTTTACAGACACGAAACTGCACACACATGGCTAATTTGCATAAACTATAAGCTCTGAAAAAAAAAAAAAAAAACAGCTCGCTCCTTGCGCTGCTGATGCGGTTCAGCTTCTGTCGGACTAAAGGACACGACTCAGTGGAATATGAGTGTTCTTTCTGTGACAGAGGATGTGCTGATGATGGTGAGTCTGGTCTGTGCTTCTATCGCGTTGGAGATGGTTCATGTTAAACTTTACACGAACGCCAGGTTTAAATCCTCGCTTCCTCGCGTTGTGGTGGTTACTTCATTACTTGGCAGCGCATAGACCTCGACACAGACCCATAAATCAAAAACGATGGCGACAAGGCGACAGTGGCAGAGTGCGTTTAGGTGATGCAGAACTAAACTTTGAACTTAAATTGAGCTTTAGGATCACTGCAAGAGAGCTTTGATGCTCCCAAAAGGGCAATAACGTCTTTTCCCTTGATAAAATTCACCAAACATTCTCTTTGTTCCGGCTTTAAATCCTCGATCTCGGGAATCGTTGCCAACACAGAATATATGACTCTTTGCTGATTGGCTGGTGCTGAACTCGCACTTCCGGGGTTTTTGCGAACTGTCTAGTGTATTCCGATTCCTGACCTCGTCGCTGGAAAGAAATGAAATTGAGCGGAGGCAGTAGGTGGCGCCAGCCTGGCTACATAGTCACGATAATAAATGACAGGTACAGTAGGCAGACAGTAAGCTACTTAAATTCAAATAAACAAAAAAACTAAACAAAATAACAACATCAGCACAATGAAAAACACACACGCACTCACACATGACAAATTTGAACAAAAACTAAGAAGGAGTTTAAATATAGTCATAAAATATTTGAATATATTGATATTGTCTTAGTCAGAGGCCAAAGTGGAGGTTTGCTGTGACGGTAAAGCTAAGAACAACTAGCATGCAAACACACACTTCCTGATTATCAGACCATAAACACTTTGTAATTAGATCATAATTTGACCTCAAGAGCTGCTTAAACAATATATCTATTAAAGATAGTTAAATGTCCATATTTACTGGGGACAGTCCCAGTTTTGAGCCATGTGTCCCCTGTCCCAGCAGATTTATCCAAAACCACTGATTTATCCCAGTTTTATACAAGAAATGTCGCAGGTGTTTCTATTTTTGACCAATCTGACAGTGAAGAGAGGCATACGTTGTCATTTGTTTTAGTGAAATACAGAAAATCTGCTTAAAAATGACAAAAACACAAAGAAAATGTGACTGTACTGAGTCACATTAGTGCCAAGCGCATGACAATTTTCCTTAATTATACTCGTTTCCCAATTTTATTATTACCAACCAACCCAAATCAGGGGTGTCCAAGTTTTTTATTTTGAAAATCTGGTTATCCTTGAAGAAACCCACTCAGACACAGAGAGAACAAGACTCTGAATCATACCCGGGACCATTTTGTTGCGAGTTTAACCGTTCTTCTCCTTTGTGTTTTCCTTTATTAGTATTTTTTACAGTACCCACGCGAAGCTTCCATGTAACAGGATGAGTAGACGCTCCATACGTCGTGCCAGAAATCTGCTAGCCATTACAGCCTCTGCCAGATGTGCAATCCTCCATTACAACCTTATATTCTCTCAAACCTCTCCGCAGCACCCCACAGCTGTACAATGACCTCACCTGCACTTCCCTTTCATCAACCCTCCTCTCCTCGCAAACACAAAACACATGCTGCTAACTGGAAGGCACCGCGAGCTCGCGCCGTCCCGCCTGATCCGCGTCGCTCCACCTCGCAAACTCTAAATTAAAGTAACTAAGACACAGTTTCTCATTGAGCCAATCCATCACGGGTCACCTCCCATTACAAAGCGTGTCAGGGCGGTAATAGAGGAGTTAGGATGGCACCTATAGCCTATTACAGCGGATTTTTTTATTTTTTTTGCCTTATAGTTGCAGTCTGAAGCAGTTTATATAGAAATTAGCCTTTAAAGCTGCATTGTTTAACTTTTTGGTTGGGGGTTTGTCACCTGGTTGTTTCTGTGAATATATGGTAACTGCTCTGATTGAAATGTTCCACAGTATGACATTAAACACAGGGTTCCCACATTCATAGAAATCCTGGAAAAGTCATGGAAATTGAAAATGTCATTTTCCAAGCTTGGAAAAGTCATGGAATTTTGTAAATTCAAACCCCGTGCACACTAGTACGTATTCGAGTCGTGTTCCTTGTGGATGCAATGTTCGTCCACACTAATCCATTTGAAAATGGCGCTGGTGCCTCCAGCTCCCACAAATTCATCTGAGTACAGATCTGATCCTTCACTGTGTGGACGCCTGAAAACACTGACATGCTGATGTAGGTTTATGCACCGCGACGTAGCTAATTCACCACCAAAACACTAAGAGGCTAGAATATATTCATATATACGGTCTGTGTGTACGACCTGCAGACGTATAATCTCTGAAAAGTTTAACATGAACCATCTCCAACGTGACAGAAACACAGAACAGACTCACCATCAGCAGAACACCCCTCTGTCACAGAAACAACATCATATTCCACTGAGTCCTGTCCTTTAGTCCAACAGAAGCTGAACTGTATCAGTGCACAATAACGAGCTGTTTTTTGAGCACTCAGTTTATGCAAATGAGCCATGTGGTTTTAAGTTTAGTTTCTGTAAAACGTAAATAAATATGCTCAAAGCTGTGTGGATAAGGAAGGATTGCTGACACAGAAACAATGTGTGTGGACACAGATTGTTTCCGATACGGTGATGCGGTGATACGTTTCAGTGTAAATGGGGTCTCAATGAACGTTTTGGAAAAGTCATGGAATTTTAGGGCCTGTTTACACGAGAACGCTTGCGGGTAAAAACAATGAAATATATGGAAGTGCCTTTTGTTTAGACAGACTCTTGCAAAAGGCATGAAGCACGTTAAGCGTGAGAGTACGAGAGAAGGTTTGCTCGATAGTTTCTTTGGAATCCGCGGAGGAGCTTTTGCATCAAACCATGTTAAACTTGACACCAGCTCCTATCGCTACAGTGGCATCAATACAGTTCTATCTTACATTTATTCAATTACAGGAGGTTTTACAGCTCAAAAAAACCTAAAAAAAAAAAAGACATTCTGACCATGAGTGGGGTCGCCTCTCCATAGATCTGACCTGTAATTTGGACTGGTTTGATCTCCATGAAGATAGAAAGGTTTAATGGCATATTGTGAAACATTCCAGACAAAGCAATAACATCTCCATGGAGAAAAGCATTTGACGGACCTTCCACCAGAAAAGTGACACAAATTTGACTCTTGTGAGCTTTAAGCCAAGTTATAATGTTGTTGCATCATCAAAAACATTCATGGAGTTGTATTTTGTTTCATTCACATGTTTGAGCTACTTTTTATTATTAGTCTGTTTACATCTGCAAAGCTCAAAACACTCTGTTCCACCTTGTGATGTCATGAAGTGGTAGTTTTCAAGTGAACAGCTCCTTTTACCTTTAGTTCAGTAAAGCAGTGTTTCCCAAACTTTTTTCTGGGGACCCATATTTTAAAATCACAAATCTTCACGACCCAAGTCAAAAGACATTATTCGTAAATCACAAAATAAAACTGTGAATTATTGAACATAAATGAGGATATTTTATTGTTGACTGAGTGATAATTTTCTCTCTGAACAATTAGTATTACCGTATTTTTCAGACTATAAGGCGTAATATCAATAATGTTGAATCCTCTCGTCTATTTTCATAAATAACGTGCACCGGATTATAAGGAGCATTAAGCGAAACAAACGACACTTGAGACTTGAGACTTTTTTATTTCCTACGAGAATGACTCAAATATAGATTGAGTAATAATGTGTTTAATGCAGCTTTGTGCACATTTGTTTATGTTTTACAGAAATGAAACTTCAAACCACATGTCTAATTTGTAATAAAAAACTAAATTACAAAAAAAACTGCTCCTAGTGCACTGATGCAGTTCAGCTTCTGTCTGACTAAAGAACACAAGTGGAATATGTGTGAAAATCAGTTCGAGGTCAGTGAGCACAGCTACAATTAATGCATAAATCGCACCGGATTATAAGGTGCACTGTTGATTTTTCAGAAAATTAAGGGATTTTAAGTGCGCCTTATAGTCCAAAAAATATGGTACTCAAGTTTTACACAAGGAAAAACAGTAATTAGTGTTTCCCACAGAAAATTGGTTAGGCAAGATCGTAACAAGGCAACCCAAAAAAGGGAAACAATGCATTAGAGATTGACAATTCCAGGACTGAAATCAAGCAAATTATTCAAGTGAAGGTAAAACACAGTATTACCACATGACATCACAAGGTGGAACAAAGTGTTTTCTGTTTGAGAGAAGAAATGTGCAAAAACATGCAGGATTTGTGAGTTAAACATGTGTGAATGAAACAAAACTTAGACTTAGACTTGGACAAACTTTATCGATCCACAAGGTAAATTATTTAGTATTATTTCTTATTATAAAACACAACTCCAGGTCTGTTTGTGAGGAGGAAAAACATTATAACATAGATCAGAAAATAGTGTAATATTAGTCCTTTAATATATTCTAGATAAAATGATTTAGCTTTAACAGGGTGTAGTTAATGATAAAAAGCTTACGAGTGTGGACCTCCTAGTGTTCACCGCGGACACTATCAGACCCACTGGGATATTTTAATTGGATCTGAGCGGGCTGACATTTGTGCAAGTAATAAGTGAAATCTGCACTGGGGGAATTGGAGGTTCAGAACAGCTGAGGTACAAGGCTATAGGTGTGTCCAAGAAAACCTGCCAAACTTTTAAACAGGGCTATTATGCAAAATCGACGTTTTGGAGCCTTCTGCCGTGTTCTAATGTTTTTCCCCTCATCAAAAACATGCCTGAAGTGTTTCTGTAGGTCATCCAGGCGTGTTTGAGTCATCTAGTGATCTCTCCCGGGCCCAATTTGAAGTGTCTTGACAGTTAGGAGTAACATTCTGTCCAGACCACAAGCACGGCAATTCTCCAAAAACATATACAAAAGAATAACACGAAACAACACACTACAACTGCACGGACCTGATTTGATGCGCAGAATGTGCTCTGAAGGGGGAGTCACTGAGCAGTATTTAAATTTTAGGTTGTCAGGGATGTTTTCTAATCTAATACATTTTATTTACCGTATTTTTCAGACTATAAGTGGCACTTTTTTCATGGTTTGCTGGTCCTGTGATTTATATATTAAAACGTTCACACTGGCAGCCACAAGAGGGCGCTCAAGTCTTGTGTGTCAGTATCTGCTGCTCCTGTTTCTCCTGTACCACTGTTACTTGGCTCTACTGCACATGTCTCCTGCAGAAAGAGCCTCCGTCCTGCTGCAAGTAGTGAAATATGCGAGTGAGAAACTTGTGAGGGACTGAAAGGAGGGAAGGAGAACACAACTTCACGGTAACCAGGAGGGAGCACCATGCAACTTTCCTGGAAGCCACTCGATGGATGGACAAAGTCTGGACTTCAGTGACACCGAAACCATCCTGTTATGATTCAGAAAGGCTGGAATAATTCTATCTGGAACTGATGCTGAGTCTGACGACAGCGACACAGAAGAGGAAGCGGCGCTCTGTTTACCTCCGGAGGTCGTGGAGTTGCTCAGAAGTGACACCGAGGATGAAGAATTGAATGGATTTAGTGATTTGGAGTGAGATGGAGAGTTTGTTAAACTTGTTCTGTTCTGTTGTTTATGTTATAGTTTATCTGAAAAACTGTTCATATGTGACGTTAACAGTCTGTTGTTCTCTCTTCTATTGTTTTTACTAGAACTTGACTTTCAAGATGAAATGTCACTTCCTGGTCTCTGATTTGATAAAATACATTTCCCTCAAAAAATGCGACTTATATATGTTTTTTTTCTTACACATTCATTACGCATTTTTTGGCTGGTGCGACTTATAGTCCAAAAAATACTGTAAATAATTGTTCTTTGTTAAAGGTGCACTGTGTAACTTTTCTGGTGGAGTGTCTGTCACCTGCTTTTCTTCATGGAGATATTGCCTTGAATGTTGCACAGTATGGCATTACACTTATTTATCTCTATGTAGACAGAAGGTGACACCACAGGGTCAAGTTACATGTCAGATCTGTGAAGAGGCGAGCCCACTCACAGTAAGAATGTGAGTTTTGAAGTCAATAAAAAACATGTTACTGAGTAAATGCAAGGTCGATACTTTTAATGCCATACCGGGACATTCCAAACAAAGCAACAACATCTCCATGGAGACAAGCAGATGGTAGAACCTGCACCAGAAAAGTTACAGAGTGCACCTTTAAAGTAAGAGAAATATATTAAAACAATGAACAAAAAGAATGCAAGTTTTAAGGCCAATAAAATGCCGGGACATTCCAGAAAAAATAATAACATCTCCATGGAGACAAGTTGAAAAGTTACACAGTGCACCTCAACTTTAATTAAAATTGTATGGAAAAAAAAAGTTTGTAATAAGCGGGATAGAGGAGTTTATTACCTTAAAGATGGCGGCCGTTAGTGGCTGAGGTGGAGCAGGTCGTGAGGGGGACACAGACGTCACAGGAGGAGGAGGAGGGTTTGGAGAAGATGATCCACTCAGACCAGCGCTCACGGACCTGGACAACAACACAAAATAACTTTTTTTTTTACGATGATTCAATCTTTTAATTAAGAACAATATACCAATTATCATGAGCCATTCCACCTAGTCCTACTCCTACAACTATCACCAAACTCTAAACCAGGGGTGTCAAACTCATTTTGGTCCGGGGGCCGTATCCAACCGACTTTGATCCCAAAGGGGCCGGATCAGAAAACTCATGTCATATAAACCCCAAAAATAACAATAAGTTCAAATATTTGTGCAGAGAAACACAAATCTATTACAGAAATCTTTTTAAATTGATGAACTCTTTCTTATTATAATATTATAATATTATGAACAACCTGAAACTGTAAGAAAAATTCAATTTCAACACAATGTTTTAACATGAACTTGTATGTAAACAAGAATAAGTCAATTTTTCTTGTAAAATCCTGCACTCGGCTCCACTTTTCTTATGTTGGACATTTTTCTGATGAGGGTGTCACGGTTTGACAACAGTCAAAACGATCGTCCTTTAAGAGCGTTTGGAAAGAGACAAGTCTTCATTTGTGCTGCTCTGGTGGGAGGGGCCACGTACAGAGACGCTGGAGACGCTGCTGTGATAAACACCACAGAAAATTAACAAGATTTTAATAGAAAATATAATTACAATATTTTAGTAGAAAATCACCCAAGGGCCACATTAAAGGTCTTGGAGGGCCGGATCTGGCCCCCGGGCCTTATGTTTGACACCTGTGCTCTAAACAATACCTGCTCTGCAACGTTTACTGGTTTAGACCTGGTTTAGTTTTGAGTTAAGTCCCAATTTCGATGAAGTGTGCTGACATGACTGTATGCTAAATATGTAAATAATTAAAAAAAAAAAAAAAAGTCATTATGTAACTTGTCTGGTGGATTGTCTCCATGGAGATGTTATCGCTTTGCCAGGAATATTCTACATCAGGAGTTTTCAAGTGAATGTGAGCCTCCTCTTAGATAAAGACAGCTGAGCGGCATGGTTTAGTCCTGGTTAAATCCTGGTTTATACCTGGTTTAGACTGGGTTTTAATCCTGGTTTTAGTCCTTGGTTTTAGTCCTGGTCTACTCATGGTCTAGCTCTGGTACAGTCCTGGTTTAGTCCTGGTTTTAGTCCTGGTTTTAGTCCTGATTTTAGTCCTGGTTTAGTCCTGGTTGAATCCTGGTTGAACCCTGGTTAAGTCCTGGTTTTGTCCTGGTTTAGACCTGATTTTAGTCATGATTTTCATCCTGGTTTAGTCCTGGTCTAGTGCTGGTTTAGTCCTGATTTAGTCCTGGTTTAGTCCTGGTCTAGTGCTGGTTTAGTCCTGGTTTAGACCTGGTTTTAGTCCTGTTTTGTCCTGGTTTAGTCCTGGTTTATGCGAAAAAAACAAACAAAAAACCCTCCTCTAACTTTATGAAAACAACATAAATACTCTTATTGCCATTCACTTCCAAACAAAGCAAGAAAATCTCCATGGAGACAAGCAGCAGGTGGAAGAAGCTCCACCAGAAATGTTACATAATGCATCTTTAAGTAAAACAAAATCATTGGGAGGAATAAGAAAATCTCTGTAAATGTTATTGAGGACATTTCCAGTTCTTTTGTTGCTGTTCCCAATACAGCTCCTATATACAACACATGTATAAAACGCTTATTCTCTGTTAGGGAAAAAAAAACAAAAAAACAAATGAAAATGGCTGATTGCGTTTAGTGGCTGTCAGAGATAGAAAAAAAAAAATCCTAATTACATTCATTCATAACGGCACTTAGCCTGTAATGCGTATGCTAATGGATAAATGAGACAGATCACAATGAGAGATTGATCTGAGCCTGTGAGCGAATCTGAAACACCCACTCCCAGCTGTCACCACGAGCCGCACGACACCAAAGTACAGCACCTCACCGCAAACGGGGTCCTGTTTATGTATTATTAATGCACAGAATGATTTTGGTCAGAGTTAATACACCAGTTATTTGTGTTTAATCAAAAGTTTACCTCTAGAGAAAGAATAGATTCAGAAGTATGTTAAGATTTTGAGATTATTTGTTGAGCGTTTTTGTGACTGATTGGAGTAATAACTGTACTAGCAATTAAAATCTGATTAACTGCACGGCTCTAGTTGCTGATTTATAGTTTGCTCGGTGTCAAATGGCTTAAGCAGACGGGGCGACGGTGGTTCAGTTGGTAGGGAGTTTCAGTTGAGTGTTTTCCACTAATCCGAAGGTTACAGGTTCGAATCCAGCTCTTGACGTAAACATTAGAGGTCTGAGCGGGACAGAATTTTCGGTCCCGCTCCCGCTCGTGCCCGCAATGAGCTTTCAAAATGTGTCCCATGCCGCGCTGTTTTGTGTCGGGTCCCGATGGATGTTTACTAGAGCCTGGCAGTCCCGCGGGCCCTCGCCACATTCCTACCCTCACCTACAGTCATGAGCTCTGGGTAATGACTGAAAGGACAAGATCGCGGATACAAGCAGTTGAAATGAGTTTCCTCCGCAGGGTGGCAGGGCGCTCCCTTAGAGACAGGGTGAGGAGCTCAGTCACACGGGAGGAGCTCAGAGTAGAGCCGCTGCTCCTCCACGTCGAAAGGAGCAGCTGAGGTGGCTCGGGCATCTGTTCCAAATGCCTCCTGGACTCCTCCCTCGGGAGGTGTTCCAGGCACGTCCCACAGGGAGGAGACCCTGAGGAAGACCCAAGACACACTGGAGGGACTATGTCTCTGGCCTGGCCTGGGAGATCCAGGGGCCGGGTAAGCAGAGGAAAATAGATGGATGGACACTTACAATTGAATCTACTCAAATAAAGTAAAACATTTCCAATTTAAGTAATTTTTACTTTCCTAGATATGACTTTTTGCAGTGCTTTGGTAGCAGCTGTGACAGCTGTTGCTGTGTCCTTGGGCAAGACACTTAACACCCCTGGCCCCTAGTGTCTGTGAGTGAGTGGAAAACTCCTTTAAGAGCCTTGAAGGTGGATGTAGTTTTAGTTTAGTTTTTTAGTTTTATTTGTAGCTGACCTGAGCTTCTCCAGAGGACCCTTGTTGTTGGTGAACATCAGCCCCAGCAGAGACTTCCTCTTCAGGCAGAAAACCAGCACAGCCCCCAGGACGGAGAGGAGGGCCACCACCACCCCCCCGGCCATCACACTGACGTGGCCTGAACACAACAACAGAAACAGAAACATCAATAATGTAATCCATATTATTGATATTCTGATGATAACCTAAGATAGCACATTGATATTTTGAAAACCATCGTGCCGTAGTAATGATAAAGAGATAATGATCCTTACACAGGTTGTCTTTATGTTTCATCGTCACTAGAGATTTTCTGAACTTTATGGGTTTCTTGTTCATATTGACAATAAAAGAAAACTAAAATCTTATATTACACTGTCACATACATATCTATTTTATATTGCAGTAGTAACTGTAATCCAAGAAACAGTTGTAGTTTTATGTACCGTAGGCTATATGTAGTTACAGTAACAGAAACCTTGAACAACCATAGTTGTATACTAGTAGTATGTAGTAGTAGTAATAGTAGTAGTAGCAGTAGTACACAGCAAAAAGTGGAGTGTTAAAATTTACTCTCACAAAATCAATTTTAACATTTTCTCAAGGTTTATATGAGTCCAGTCTGTTCTAAGTCTGTTCTTAATTTAACATTTTTGGAAATGTTAATTAAGTAACACTGGACCAAAGTTCCAGTTTAACCTCGAAATCAAGAGTTATATTAACATTTTGAGAGCAAACTGATAACGCTTTGTAGGGTTATCCTGATTTATTTTAGTTAATTTAAGATCAAATTATGCACAAAACTGGTTCAAACTGATCTCTCGGAGGAGTTTGACAGGGTGGGTGGGAGGTGCCAAATTAACACTGAGGAAAGTTAAATTAACACTTGGGGAAGTTGAATTAACTTTAACCATATCAACTCTGACAAATAACCCCAACTCAAACTATAATATAAATAACACCTTTTGTGTTACTATTTCACCCTGAAATTTTAACCCTCCAGTTTTTGCTGTTAACAGACACAGAATAAAGTACAGCAGTGTTTATTTACCTGCTAATCTGATGGGTCCACTGTCCACACTTCCTCCAAACCCGCCCTTATCACAGAAAGGAGGAGCCCAGTGCGCTTCACAGTGACAGTTCTTGTTGTTGTTGCAAACCTGAAACATAACAATCGTTTTAACATTGTTATTTTAATATTTAAATAAAACTCAAATAGCACCTTCTGTATAACACTTTAAACTGAATACATTCATAGTACATCATGGAAACAAACAAACAAACAAACAAACAAAAAAAAACCTCAAATTACCAAACTCAGATAAAAAAAAAATCAACTTGAGAAATTCAAGTTGAGAAATTCAGATTTTAAAAAACTCAAGTTGCCAAATTCATAAATAAATAAATAAATAAATAAATAAAATTAAATAAAAAAAATTCAAGCAGAGAAATTCAAGTTGAAAATGTATTCAGTTTAAAGTGTATTCAGTACATCATGGACAATGGATTTTTTTCAGATGATCAACAGCCAGGGTGCCCACTCTTTTTCACTGACCTAAAGTGAATTTTCCATGATTTTACGGCACCTATGTTTGTAGAATTGATCAAACTTTTATAAATATGAAATGTTAACTCTTTCCACTCACCTTATGGTTTGGTTTTATAGTTTTTTAACATTCAAAATACTGTCAGTGCATTTATTGTCGTCTCTTTTAAACAAAAGGCGCAAACGTTCGGAAAAAATCATAATAGTCTAATGAGAACTTAACAGAACGCTGCAGTTGTGTGAAAGAGACGACTTTTCAAAAAAGTTCCATGACTTTACCAGGATTTCCATGACTGTGGGAACCCTGAATAGCAAATAGTTTGGTATTTTTGATGTTTTTATATCAATATTTTAAAACCTATATAGGCCCACAGGTTGAAGTAAAGTTCAAAAACTTTCAATTTTGTGATCTAAAATGTTAGAAATTAGAAATAGAAATGATCAGATTTTATGACAATTGTATAAACATGCAGCCATCTCTTTTGTTTCTTTCTTATGTACATATAGACTTACAGACTGACCTATGGAAGAAAATATTGTTTGAAATATATGAATATACGTAATATTAGCACTGATTCACTGTTCATGTTTAGATATTGTAAAGCAGACCTGGGCATTGTACAGCTGCTGGGCCACATATGACCCTTTGTTTGACTCTGAATGGACATTTAAGAATTACAAAATAAACATATTTCAGAATTTTACCTCATGGATGGACTAAATCTGCATTGCTTTTGTCTTAGAGGTGCTTTTTTTTATGACATTTTTTGTAAAGCAACCTCACTTTTTCATTGCTCAGTCATAACATAAACTCTTACCAGTCTTAACTGCTCATCAAAACAATGTTATTTTCTGCTTTTCTTTTTTTTTCATTTATGTTTTTATTAGAAAAGGTTTGCATCTTTACAGTCTGTGGTATTACAGAAAGATCAGAGTCCTTTTCGAACTTTTTTTTACAAAAACGGAAAGTGAAAAAAAAAATAAAATAATAATAATTAAAATAATAATAATAATAATAAAAAATAAAAATAAAAAAGGGAACAAACTAACTAACTAACAACAGTGTGAGGTGGCCTGCTTGACAGCATTTATCAGACATTTCAACCCTTCAAGAAACAAATTCGGTGAGCGTGGTGGAGTCAGGGGATCCATACCCCATTACCTGGTACATTTACAAAAAATCAATCAAAATCAGCCCGAAAGGGGGATACAAACTGGATTAATTTTTCCCAAATCTTATAAAATTTGTCCCTTTGTACTCTTAGAATGTATGTCAATTTCTCCATTTTGTAAATTTCTAAAACTGTATCAAACCAGTCCTCAAGTGTTGGGGGTATTTTCTGCTTTTCATAATAATACAATTAATATTATGCAGAATTGAGATAAGTATTTTGGTCTCATGGAAATAAATAATTGCCCAGCCCTGTTGTATTGTAAGAAAGACACCAGAGCTCAAGTCCAAAAGAGCCGCATGTGCCCTCCTCGGCTAAAATAAACATAAACGTGACCTAAATAGACTTCCTTGTTTGACCGATAGCGCTCTCATAATCACTCTTTGCCTCGTGAACGATGCAGAAGTGGAAGCTCGGCCAACTAACGAGCCTGCACTTAGCTTAATAAATGCATTCAAAAACAACAGATCACATAATTGCTACGCTAATTTCCTCCCGCATTAAATCAACAGACCCAGCCGCTGCCAGATGTTGCACTTCGGGAAGCTCGAAACTCCCAGCGGTGGAGGAAGTGCTCAATTTTGTTACTTAAAGGCGCACTGTGCAACTTGTGTAACTGGTGGAGGGTCCGTCCAGTTCTTTTCTGCTTTCTATCCTCATGGAGACCAAACCAGACCATGTTACGGGTCAGATCTGTGGAGAGGCGACCCCCGCTCACAGTCAGAATGTTATTTTTCTAGGTATTTTTGAGCAATAAAATCACTTATAATTGAATAAATGTAAAGTATAGCTGTTTAATGTCACACTGTGGGACATTTCAGGCGGAGTAATGACATCTCCATGGAAACAAGCAGGTGACGGACCCCCAACCGAAAAGTTACACAGTGCACCTTTAAGTAAAATATTGAAGTACATGTTTAAAAATGTACTTTAAGAATAAAAAGTATTTTGCTGAATTTTTTAGAACAGTTAAAGCTTCAAATGTTGTGATTTTGATAAGGAATTTCACAGATTTTAAGTTACTCAAGTGAATTAGAATATTTCATGATGAATGAAATAACTTGAATAAAAATAGTTGAAATAGAAATAACTGGGGTAAAAAAAAAAGTTTTAACATGTGACAGGAGGGTATGATTTTACATTACGTTTTAGCACCTTTAATTCGGACTGACAGAATTCAAGTTGAGAAATTCAGATAAAAAACTCAAGGTGCCAAATCCAGATAAAAAAAAATTCAAGTTGAGAAATTCAGAAAACAAACAAACAAACAAACAAAAAAAAACCTCAAATTACCAAACTCAGATAAAAAAAAAATCAAGTTGAGAAATTCAAGTTGAGAAATTCAGATTTTAAAAAACTCAAGTTGCCAAATTCAGAAATAAATAAATAAATAAATAAAATTAAATTAAAAAAAAAATTCAAGCAGAGAAATTCAAGTTGAGATATTCAGATAAAAAAAAAAAAAAAAAAAACTCAAGTTGCCAAATTCAGATTAAAAGAAATTCAAGTTGAGAAATTTAAGTTGAGAAATTCAGATTTTAAAAAAATCTAGTTTCCAAATTCAGATAAAAAAATAAAAAAAAAAATAAAGTTGAGAAAATCAGATCCAAAACAATCAAATTTCACCGCACATTGCGTGACTATGTGAACTTGCTAACACCAGGGGGCGCCATCCTCATAGAGCCCACAGCCAGACAGAAGGGTCTGACTGCAGAGCCACAGACCCAGACCCACCATTCAGCAGTGGTCCCAGTCTGAGACACCAGGACTCCTGGACTCTCAGGACTCCTGGACTAGGACTGAACCAGGACTAGGACTGAACCAGGACTACCAGGACTAGGACTGAACCAGGACTCAACCAGGACTGAACCAGGACTGAGACCAGGACTGAACCAGGACTGAACCAGGACTGAACCAGGACTGAACCAGGACTGAACCAGGACTGAACCAGGACTGAGACTGAACCAGGACTGAACCAGGACTGAACCAGGACTGAACCAGGACTGAACCAGGACTGAACCAGGACTAGGACTGAACCAGGACTGAACCAGGACTGAACCAGGACTGAGACCAGGACTGAACCAGGACTGAACCAGGACTGAACCAGGACTGAACCAGGACTGAACCAGGACTGAGACCAGGACTGAACCAGGACTGAACCAGGACTGAACCAGGACTGAACCAGGACTGAAACCAGGACTAGGACTGAACCAGGACTGAACCAGGACTGAGACCAGGACTGAACTAGGACTAGGACTGAACCAGGACTGAGACCAGGACCAGTTCTTGTCTCAGCCTTTCTCAAACCATAAAGAAAAGTACTTTTTACTTTTCAGTCCAGATCTAAAATGCAGCGAAGTAAAAGTTTCAAACACCTGCTCTCAAATGTACTGAAATAAAAGTAAAAAGTATCCACAGTCAAAATGTACAGAGACCTAAAAATACTTAATGTACTTTTACTTTCCACCACTTAAATCTCCACATTGTTTGAAGCAGTGTTTGTTGAAAAACTACACACGTTTTTCTATTTGCTCCGAGACATTTTAACGTTTTTTACAGTCTGTGTCTTGCAGAGAAAAGGAAGAATAAAAAAGGAGTTTCCAGTAGTGTAATAAAGACCAGGTGAGGGAGTTTTGCTTTAGCTCCATCTTGATCTCATTTCTGTGCTACGAGATGCAGATGAAGTTTGAGAGATGCTTTTAGGAACTGGGTTTTGTGAAGCGTGAAATGTAAAATGTGGAAATTATGAGAGCGGTTTGGTTTTGTCTCCCCGGCAACTGTTGACAATATGTTTAGTCTGCAATCCGGTGAGTATAACAACAGAGATGCAGTAGTGGAAGCAGTAAAATAATACAATACTTAAGTACAATTTTGAGGTATCTGTAGTTTACTTAAGTACATTTAACAGTGGATACTTTCACTTTAACTTTATTACATTTGAGAGCAGGTGTCTGTACTTTCTACTCCACTACTGTACATTTTAGATGAGTAAAGTACTGTACTTAAGTAGATTTTTTAGGTACCTGTACTTTACTTAAGTACATTTAACAGTGGATACTTTTTACTTTTACTTCAGTACTTTTCAGAGCAAGTGTCTGTACTTTCTACCTCACTACATTTTAGATTAGTAAAGTATTGTATTTAAGTAGAATTTTAGGTTTCTGTACTTTATTTAAGTGCATTTAACAGTGGATAATTTTTACTTTTACTTCAGTACATTTGAGAGCAGGTATTTGTACTTTCTACTTCAATACATTTTAAATGAGTAAAGTACTGTACTTAAGTAGACTTATGAGGTATCTGCACTTTACTTAAGTACATTTAACAGTGGATACTTTTTACTTTTACTTCACTACATTACAAATCAGGTATCTGTACTTTCTACTCCACTACATTTTAGATTAGTAAAATCCCGTACTTAAGTAGTTATTTTTAAATATCTGTACTTTACTTAAGTACATTATACAGTAGATACTTTTTACTTTTACTTCACTACATTTGAGAGCAGGTGTCTGTACTTTCTACTCCACTAGATTTTTGAACTGGACTGAAAAGTAAAAAGTATTTCATGGGTTAGATTTTTAGATTTTGAGTTCAAGATTCGTCTTTCAGGAAACAAAAAAAATACACAAAATGGATGAGAAAAAATAAGAAATTGATTCGTATTGTACTGACCAAAATATGTATATTTTTAAATCAATATCACCACATTAACAACAAATGAAATATGTGAAATCCTTTTACTTTTTCAAACAGGGACTTAAATACTTTTGGTAGATTTTTCCATATGATACTGTTACTTGAGTAACTTTTTACCTCTGTATCTATACTTTTACTTAAGTAACAAAATTGAGTACTTAATCCTAAACTGCAGATATATTAAAACTGGATCAGAACTACATCTTAAAGGGACAGTGTGTGGACAGTCTGGACAGTTTCCAATAGACAGTTAAAACCACACTTCGGAACATTCTACATGGAGATAAATATTTTTATTTTATTTTATTTTTTTACCATAGTGTGGAAGATTATATTCAAAAGACCAACATTTCCATGAAGACAAGGGGGAGGAGATCAAACAAGTCAAGTTTATGGAGTTGCAAGCCCACCACAGGAAGGGCCTACAATCTTCAATGCAAAAATATGCTTTTATTTTAGTCTATTTTTGACTAAATGTTACATACTATGGCTTTAAAGGGCCTATATTACGATATTTTCTGTCCTACTGTACTGTTATAATGTTTCCTGATCACAAACAGACCTGGAGTTGTGTTTTGTTTCATTCACACATGTTTAACACACAAATCCTGCGTATTTAGGCTGAGTTCTTCTCTCAAACAGAAAACACTCTTTGAAAATCCACTTTGTGATGTCATGTGGTGATACAGGGAGCGCTCAGCTGGGTTTTTAAACTCCACACACCTTCACTAGAATCATTCCAAAGATTTAAGCCCTGGAATTGCCAATCTCGGCTGAACTAAATGATTCCTCAAACACGTGTGAATGAAACAAAATACAACTCCAGTAGAGATGCACGGTTGGGCTATTTTTTCATCCGCAACCGCGACACAAAACTCATCATCCGCCCGCTGTCCATTTTGCACCGAAGTTTTTCAGAACAATCATACAGCAAACAAACTAAGGAGCCTCGATAAAAATGCAAACTCTATAGCTCATTCATTCCAAAATTCGCTCAGCGTGTATGTTCGCATTCTGAATTGTCCGTAACAACCCCAAACTTACCTGGTTTTCTTGCGCAGCTAATTAATTGACAATGTTTTCCGACTAGGTTATTTTTGAACCTTCTTGCCTTCGTGTTGGATGTTGTTACATTCTGAACATTCTGTCATTGCCCGATGTTATTTCAAAGTCATAGCCTCACTCCATCGGTCTTTCTTTAAGTTTTAAAAACCCCGAGTGGCAGTCTACGCTATAATGTCTGCGTGTTTTAAAATATAACTGATATCGAAATGGCCCTATAGCCACTTATGTGTTGGCAAACAGCTGAAATAAATTAGAAATAATAAAATAAACTGCATATAATATGTGCCTCGTAAACCTTAGGCATCAATAACCCGACACAACCTTAACCTTCGAACATAAAAACGAGGTCAAATGGGCTAATTAAGGATATGACGTACACTTCATACTACAAGCACAGACAATGACACTCGTCTTTTCAGATGTAGGTAACAATACTAACATTTATTTATTTATTTATTTTTTTTAGTAGTTAATCCGCCACCCGCCCGAATTTAATTAAAATATAATTTTTCGTCACGTCATTCGCCCGACCCGCATCTCTAAACTCCAGGTCTGTTTTTGATGACGCAACAGCTTTATAACACGACTTAAACCTCACGAGAATCCATTTTGTGTAATATAGGACCTTTAAACCCATTGTGAATTATGGCAAAGACATTGTACCATATATAACCCACGTCAGAGGAGACCACCCGTATGGAGTCGACGTTTGACATTTGAGAGAAAATTCAATCTTCTGGCTCCACTGTTCAACGTCAGCCGCGTATCTCTCTTCTGATGTGGCCTTTACATCCTTAAAGCAGGATTTTGGGACAAGGACAAGCGCGAGTGACAGTGATGAATGGGGTTTTGGGCGGGACATAAATGAAAGCGTTACAGCTAATTGGCCGAGCTGTGCAGGGGCCAGGATGATTGATAGCTCGGGGGTGTAATGGGCTCCCAACAGGCGTGCGGGGATCTGGACGTATTACCAACAAAATGAGAGTCGTATGGCGAGGAATACAAGGGAAGTAAATAACAATAGCTGGACTTGGACTGCAAACAAATAACTGGTCATATGTGCTTGATTTAAAGGGACCATATTATTTTGTTTTCTCATCTATGTTATAATGTTGTTTCCTGATCACAAATCGACCTGGAGTTGTGTTTTGTTTCATTCACACATGTTTAACACACAAACCCTGCACTTTTAGGCTGAGTTCTTCTCTCAAACTGACAAAAAAGCTCTGTTCCACCTTGTGATGTCATACAGAAAGTGCTCCACTGTGTTTTAAAACTCTTTTAAGGTAGTTTTGAACAAGTATAGCTCAAAATCTGCTTGGCCTAGTAGCATTAAAGGATGGGGCAAATGCAGAGGACACATTTCTCTACAAGACAATAAATTATACCTTAAAGCCACATTATATAACTTTATAGACACAAAAAATAGACTAAGACAGTGTTTCCCAAAGTTTTTTTCTAGGGACCCATATTTTAAAAGTCACAAATCTTCACAACCCAAGTCAAAAGACATTAATCCTAAATCACAAAATAAATCTGTGACCGTTATTGACCATAAATGAGGATATTTTATTGTTGACTGAGTGATCGTGTCTCTCTGAACAATTAGTATTACCGTATTTTTCGGACACCGGATTATGAGGCACATTAAGCGAAACAAACGGACACTTGAGACTTGAGGTTTTTTTTTATTTCCTATGAGGACGACTCAAATATACATTGAGAAATAATGTGTTCAATGCAGCTTTGTGCACATTTGTTTACGTTTTACAGAAATGAAACTTAAAGCCACATGGTTTATTTGCATAAACTATAAGCGATAAAAAAACAGCTCGCTCCTTGTGCGCTGATGTGGTTCAGCTTCTTTTTGACTAAAGAACATGACTCAGTGAAATATGTGTGAAAATCAGTTTTCAGTAAGAGATACGCACATTTTTGATGATTTTACTACAGAAAATTTTTTAAGGATTTTAAGTGCACCTTATAGTCCAAAAAATATGGTAACCAGTTTTTAAACAAGGAAAAAACAATAATCACTGTTTCCCACAGAAAATTGGTTTGGCTGAAGAAAAACTTTGGAGTGGGGGTGCATGGAGACGTATGTGCATGTGTATTGCAGACTTACATGCAGATCGTGACAAGGCGACCCCAAAAAAATTAAAATCTCCCAGACCAAAGACCCAATCTTTCAGAAACAACGGACTAAAATAAAGCATGTTTTTTCTTCCACGATCTGGAAGAATGGCCTAGATTTTGAAGTATAATTCAGTCATGAAATATGGTTCAAAACTGAAAAAAAAAAAAAAAAAAAGTATGCCACCTTTTTACATTTTTATACAATGTTTACAATGTTTACAACAGTGCTTTTCTGGGGGAGGATCTGCTTTATATTTGTCTCCACGGAAATGTTATTGCCTGAAATGTTCCATAGTATGATGACACCAGACCAAGTTACAGGTCAGATCTGTGCAGAGGCAAGCACACATTTAAAACAGCTACGACTGAATAGATCCAAGATAGATAAATTTTATGTCATACTGTCTTGACAAAGCGGTTAAATCTCCTTCAAACGGATGGCAGACTCTCCACCAGAAAAGTTACACAGTGTATCTTTAAAAGTAATATATTAATTTAAAAGTATGTGTATAACTCACCCCTCGCCCGCTGCACTTGGAGGCACACTGATGAACTCCAAACACGCTCACGTTTTGGCACTGACGATTCAGACACATCTACAAGAGAAACCAAAACAAACAATGATATAACGACAAAAAGTATAGAACATAAAACTAAATTTGCAAATAAAAGACCTATATGAAAATGTCTGCCAGGTTATACAAAAGTTAGAAGTTACTTGAGGATAATACTTTCTTTACACCAAACTGTATGGCACAAGTTTGTTTAAAATCTCAAATATTTTACAGAGCGCCCCCACCAGGTCAGTACAGAAACTAATCCGCTTTTCAATTTGTTTCCATTCATGAAAGTGGGACTAAACGCCTAAACTCCGCCCACAACCACACTGTAAATAAAGCTGCTACACTGGGCAGTACCTGCAGGACTAAAGAAGAGAAAAAGAAGAGGAGGGGTGGAGTCTGGAGGTTTAAGAACAGTGATCTGACACAGGGGTCAGACGAGAAAATATTGTGGAAGGCTGGGCCAAAACGCTGAACTCAATTCTGAACCAGGAGGAATGAACCAGGACCAAACCAGGATTGAACTAGGAGGATGAACCAGGAGTAAACCAGGACTAAACCAGGGTTAAACCAGGTCTAAACCAGGACTAAAATGGGACTAAATCAGATCTAAACCAGGACTAAACCAGGACTAAACTGGGACAAAATCAGATCTAAACCAGGACTAAATCAGGTCTAAACCAGGACTAAACTGGGACTAAATCAGATCTAAACCAGGGCTAAACCAGGACTAAATCAGGTCTAAACCAGGACTAAACCAGGACTAAATCAGATCTAAACCAGGACTAAACCAGGACTAAATGAGGTCTAAACCAGGACTAAACTGGGACTAAATCAGATCTAAACCAGGGCTAAACCAGGACTAAAATCAGGTTTAAACCAGGACTAAACTGGGACTAAATCAGATCTAAACCAGGACTAAACCAGGACTAAATCAGGTCTAAACCAGGACTAAACTGGGACTAAATCAGATCTAAACCAGGGCTAAACCAGGACTAAATCAGGTCTAAACCAGGACTAAATCAGGTTTAAACCAGGACTAAACCAGGACTAAATCAGATCTAAACCAGGACTAAACCAGGACTAAATCAGGTCTAAACCAGGACTAAACTGGGACTAAATCAGATCTAAACCAGGGCTAAACCAGGACTAAATCAGGTCTAAACCAGGACTAAATCAGGTTTAAACCAGGACTAAATCAGGTCTAAACCAGGACTAAATCAGGTTTAAACCAGGTCTAAACCAGGACTAATCTTGGACTAGGACTTGGAAACTAGGACCGCCCCTGACAGAACCCTGAGCCCGTGGAGCAGGGTGTCCACAAAGTGCGATCGGGCGTCAGCTGCGCTTAACCTCATGGACCGCGAAGCTCTGCGCCGGTCCGTTCTACCGTGGTCACCCGACGGTCTACGTGGGTGCACCTCTGAGCCCATCCCGACATTTGGAACCGTAATGATGGCGTGTCACCGCTGCTGACATCGCGGTGATTTTAGCAAATTTGTATGTATGTTATGTATAAAAACAAGAAACCCTCCACTTCAATCCAGGTTAAAAAAGCATTGTGACGGACATTTGCGTTACAGCAACAAGCAATGCATTACAGTCATTTGTTACTTACATAACACGTTACTCCCAACACTGGGAGCTATACAATGTCCAGGTCTGGTCTAACAGGTTCTCACACTGGTTAAACCTCTGTCTGTAATCAGGGCAGTCTTGTGTGATGTCACGTAGTACTTGAAATGGCAAATTGACCTAGTTTGCACTACAGTAGACAATGCTATTAAAACAACATATGCACAAAATGATTTCAACTAGGATCTGTTCACATTTGTCCTGGTTTCGGACTTGGTTTGGTCTTGGTCTAGTCCTGGTTTAACCCTGGTCTAGAGTCATTTTATACTTGGGCAAACTGTACCACTGGAGTGATTGATAAAAGCTGACAGAACAACATTTCATACAGAGTAAAACCGTGTCTTAACAATGCTGTGAGCGTGAGAGAATGAACTTGTGAAATGACTTTAAAGATACACCCAAAAATATGCTTCCAAAAGTGTCAGCGCTCATCAGACTCTCCATTCCTCTTCTGCATCTGTTGTTGTTTTAGTTTATTCTCACTTGGTTTTCACTGTTTTATAATAGCACTGAAGGTGATGCAGTCCCATAAATCCTTGGCATTTCAACTATTTATCCAAAAGTGGAGACAGGAAGTGATAAAAAAGGACAATTACACGTGAGAAACCGCGTTGTGTTCATTAAATCAAACTTTAGTGCCACTTAAACCGACCAGTGCCACCAATCTGCTCAAGACAGTGTTAAAAAGCAGAACTGTCAAGTTTATACGGGAGATTCTGAAGGCCCTAAATGACAATATGTTTACATTTATGAAGAGTAAGCAAGGAAGGTTTATACTGACAAGATTTAAAGACTGAAACAGCAGAGTTTTGCCATCACCAGACAATAAAACGCTTAATAATTTGATGACTTTTACAATATTTCTGCACTGGGACAAGACAAATTTATCGCAGAATCATGGGAATAAATTGGGTCTTTATAGTTTTGTCCTTTCAATAACATTAACTTTAAATAAAAAAATCTGAATTTATGTCCAATTACTGACATCTTAATGGAAATTGCCTTTGATATATCCAAGTTAATAGCAGGGAGAGCCAGTTATATAAATGGTATACCACAAGATTAGCAGGAACTATTTAAGACGGCTGGTAATCTATTTTAAGTAAGAAAGCAACTGGTTTTATGTAACCTGTAACCACACTGTAAAGTAACTCTATGGTTAAAGAGCTCAGAAATTCTCAGACACTAAAGACCTGCACAGAGACTGGGAGCATGACTATACTGGTCCTGGTTTGGTCCTGGTTTGGTTCCATTTTTCGTGGTTTAGTCCCAGTGTAGAGTATCGGCATATGGCATTAGGATTCATTCGCTCGACTGTTGGCAGGTAATGTTTATTTTTTATTTTATCTTAACCAATCGCTGCTATTTGGTCGTGACGTATGTAATCAGTGGTGTCCAAGTAATTGCCAAAACAACAGCAAACAAAGCAGAGAGTGAACATGTCTGTCAACAATCAATGTCGTTTCTGAAAGATGAACTTGTTAAAGGTGCAATAAAAAAATGCGAAATTTGTATTTGACAAAGGAAGTCCAAAGGAGGATAGCGTTTGCAGTCTGCAATCACAGCTCGGGTTGGTTCAGCTCTTCACTGATTGGTCGGTGCGCGGTCTACAACTTCCTGAGGTTCTTGTAAACCATCTAGTGCAGGGGGGTCCAAACTTTTTTCAAGGGCCACATATCTAAACACAGATGAAGCAGAGGGCCGATCGAGGGCCATAGACTGGTGCTCAGTACAGTGAATAATTTAAATATGTGCAGGTTTAACACGTTAGAATGAGCCATCAGTCTTTATTCGTGCTAAGATCCTCAAAACCAAACACTAAATATTAAATATTCGCTTTATCAAAGTTGATTTTCAGAAAACTTGCAGTAAAAAGTAAATTTATAATTGATGTAAGGTCATTTGGGGCAAGTCACCTGGAAGCCTGAGGGCCAAGAAAAATTTGTCCGAGGGCCGCATTTGGCCCACGGGCCGTAGTTTGCACATGCCTGATCTAGTGTATTCTGATTCCTGACCTAGTCGCTGGAGAGAAATGAAACTGAGCACAGGCACTAGGTGACACCAGCCTGGTTAAGTGTAGACTTGGTTTAGCCCTGTTCTAGTCCTGGTTTAGTCCTGGTCTGATTCAAGTTTAGTTCTGGGTTAAGTTAAGACCCAGTTTTCATGTGGTGTGTGCAGTGTGAACGCATCTTAAATTGGCAAACTGCATTGTAAATTTCATAATAGCCAAAATAGAACCAGTATAAGACAAGATTATACTATTAAGAAAGCTGCTAGTTTTGTGTTAAAATTATATTTCTATTTTCTCTTTGTCTAAAAGTCTATAAATTATGCATATTATTATTATTGTTTTGTCGAATGGGTATCTCCTACTGACTCTTTTCCTGAGTGTCAAAATCATGTTTTTGCGTATCGTGACTATAAATAAAGACACACTGTGTAATTTTTCAGGTGCAGGTTCCGCCATTTGCTTGTCTCCATGGTGATGCTATTCCTTTGCTTGGGATGCTCCACAGTATGGCATTAAACACATCCGTCTATCTCATATTGATTCATTTAAAGGTGTTTTTTTATTTCTCCAAACTACCGCAAAGACCTGCACTCTTACTGTGAACGGCCCCTCTTCTCCACAGATCTGACCTGTAACTTCGCCTGGAGATGTGACCTGCTTGTCTCCATGGAAACAGTTAAATTAAATGCCATACTGTAGAACATTTCAAGAAAAACAGCATGGAGTCAAGCAGAAAAGTTACACAATGCACCTTTTAGTTTGAATTTTCAGCGTGTTTTCTGGACTGATTTCTCACCATGCCGTTGCCGCACTTGGTCCCGGTGAGCACCAGTCCGGGGTCGGGCATGTCGTCTCCCAGATAAACGTGAGTCCCTCTGCACAGGATCCGCCCTCCCTCCTGCTGCGGGATGTTCGTCTCTATGGAAACGGCGTTTGTCCCGATGACGGGCCGGTTCGCTCCGCCCTGACACTGGATCTTACCACATTTGGCATCACTGAGGACACAGAAAACACAGGAGAAATATTAGTGATAGTTCTTTATTTAAACTGCTGAAAGAGAAATAGTAAAGTCATATCGAAGGCTCTGGTTTAAAGTTTGTTTGCTGCGGTCTTCTTCCAACCAAAAAGTCCACAATGTTCCACAGTATGACATGGGATTAAACACCAGACTAAGACTACGTTCAGACTGCAGGGCTTAATGCTCAGTTCGGATTTTCTTGTGAAATCCAATTTTTTTGCGAGGTTGTTCACATTTCCAATTAAACGCGACTTGTTTGTGATCTCCAGTGTGAACTTTAAACGCCCCAAAAGTGTCCCGCATGCGCACTGGTGTTTACGAAAGTCGCCTAAACATGGACACAGCATTGAGCACCTGGAGATTTTAAAGTTTCCGTCGTGCCGGAGCCAGAACATGTACAGATTATTTGTTTTAAGGAGGAGATTGAGAAGGAGAAGGACGAGGTTTATAGGTTTATGGTCATGGCTTTTTGTGGAGCAGTGGCAGCAATGTCCGTAGAAAGAAACGTGTGGGTGTGGAGTCGTGGCCAAGAGTGGTGGGATTGCGATGTGCTTCACTACTTCACCCACACGGAGTTCAGACACAATTTTCGTCTGACAAGAAGAACGTTTGTGTACATTTGTGACCTATAGGTGGGATGAATGCGACCTGGCCGTTCAGACTGAAGTCGCATGTCAAAAGATCAGATATGTTTCGGTTTTAGGAGCACAAATCCAAGTGGTCTGGGTCACATTTGAAAAAATTGGATCTGTTGTTCAGACTGTCATTAAAAGATCAGATACGGGTCAAATAGGGGCGAAAAAAATTTGATTTGGGTCACTTCAGGCTGCAGTCTGAAATCACAGCTCAGATCTATGGTGAGGTGAACACACTCACAGTAAGAATGAATGATATCCAAGGTATTTATTTAGGAAACAAACAAGCAAAAACACCTGAAAGGAACAGATGCAAGGTACAAAAGAGGTTATTTGCAAAAAAGTTGACAAAATTGCATGTTTATTTTGGGAGGAAAACTTGATCGTGATGGAGTTGGGTCAAAGATAAACTGTTGCAAGGAAATTAATTGACTTCAGTTACAAGTTTTGAATCATTATTTACAATATAAACAAGTAAATATACATAATTTAAAGGTGCACTATGATATGAAAATCTGCTGCTTGTTTGTCCCACTATGAACTTCTATCTTCATGGCAGCTGAGGTCAGATCTATGGAGAGGCAATCACACTCACAGGAATAAGAATATTAGGCATTTTTAAGATATGAAATCGGCTATAACTGAAGTTTAATGCCAAACTGTGGAACATTACAGGCAAAACATGTTACTGCTATGTCTGGAATATGACATTTATTCAACTACAGGTGGTTTTACAGCTCAAAAAGTTTTATCCTTCACCAGAAAAATAACACAACGCACCTTTAATGTGTTGTCTGTTTTTATATTGTGTTGATTTTTTTTGGAAAGCACTTTGGTAACCTTGTGTTGTAAAGGCCGTTATAAATAATGATTGATTGATTCATTGATCGTATTTTGTTGAGGAGCTTCATTTCCTCTAACTTCGTGTCCAACTCCACAACACATTTTCAAATCAAACAACACATGTCTGTAGATATATTTTCAGACAGCTTTTCTCCCTCTTTTGACTTCCTGGCCTTACCGTGGCTCACATTTGGCGAACAGTCCCTTGTTGTCTTTGCCACAGTTGCCGTAGGGGTCTCCAGCAGAGTTCACTCTCTCAAAGCAGATGCCTGGAGCAGGTTTGGCCCCTGTCACACACATTAGGGTCATTACAAATCTGGACACCGTTATACCACTGTGAACAAAAAATATGACTTCAGTTTTCTATGTTTTTAGTGCTTTCTACAAATACAAAACTGTGTGGGTGTGTAGTCCAGTGTAAACTGTAGACTCATGCTTGACAATAACAATGATCGGTTGGTATGGACATTATAACATTGTATAAAATGACTTCAATTAGCAGTTCTGGCTTGAAGAAGTTATAAAAGCTTTTGTTGTTGTTTAGATGTACAGATTAACCATATGTTTGCAATGGTGTTCCTCCTAGAGCAGGGGTGTCAAACTCATTTTGGTCCGGGGGCCGTATCCAACCTACTTTGATCCCAAAGGGGCCGGATCAGAAAACTCATGTCATATAAACCCCAAAAATAGCAATAAGTTCAAATATTTGTGCAGAGAAATGCAAATCTATTACAGAAATCTGTTTTAATTGATGAACTCTTTCTTTTACAAAATATTATAATATTATGAACAACCTGAAACTTTAAGAAAAATGCAATTTCAACACAATGTTTTAACATTAACTTGTATGCAAATAGGAATAAGTCAATTTTTCTTGGAAAATCCTGCACTCAGCTCCACTTTTCTCATTTTTGACATTTTGTTGATGAGGGTGTCACGGTCAACAGTCAAAACGATCGTCCTTTAAGAGCGTTTGGAAAGAAACAAGTCTTCATTTGTGCTGCTCTGGTGGGAGGGGCCACGTACAGAGACGCTGGAGACACTGCTCTGCTCAGCACCGCAGAAAATTACCAATATTTAAATAGAAAATATAATTAAATTATTTTAGTAGAAAATCAGCTGAGGGCCAGATTAAAGGTCTTGGAGGGCCGGATCTGGCCCCCGGGCCATATGTTTGACACCTGTGTCCTAGAGTTTTAGTAAACTTTAAAGCAACACTAACAGGGTTTCCACTCTTTTTCACTGACAAAATTTCAAAACTTTTCCATGACTTTTCCATGACCTAAAGTGAATTTTCCATGAGTTTACAGCACCTACATGTGTAGAATTGATCAGACTTTTAGAGCTAAATATGAAATGTTAACCTTTTCCACTCACCTTATGGTTTGGTTTTATAGTTTTTTAACATCCAAAATACTGTCAGTGCGTTTATTGTCGTCTCCTTAAAACAAAAGGCGCAAACGTCCAGAAATAATCATAATTGTTTAATGAGAACTTAACAGAACGCCGTAGTTGTGTGAAAGAGATTCTCAATTTCCATGACTTTTCCCAGGATTTCCATGACCGTGGGAACCCTGACTATGTAACTTTGCCGGATCAGGCCCAGTCACCTGCTTATTTCTATAGAGATGTTACTGCTTTGATAGGAATGTTGCACAGTATAGCATTAAATAAAGCAAGTTACAAGTCAGATCTTTGAAGAGGCAAACCCACTCACAGTAGGAACGATTTTGTGGCTGTTTTGCAAGTATTTATTTATAAAAGAATCAAATCAAAATCACATAATTTTAACATATGCAAGATAGAAAAGTACAATGCCATACTGTGGAACATTATAGGCAAAGCAATAACATCTTGAGTTCAGTAGGTATTAGTGCTCGTCCTCTGATCAGAAGGTTGAATCCCGCTCAGTTCCATTGTATAAACACTGGTAGAAATCCAGTGAGTGCGTATACATGCACATCAGTATCCCGTTATGATCGGGTTTTTTGAGTGTCCCGGTTTCTTCATGGTGCATGTAAACGCAGTAACCTGGTTTCAGTATCCCGGATATGGCAGTATCCCGGTTATTAGAAACCGGGTTACTGTAGCTGGTTTATTCCGATAGTAACCGGGTTACTTGTGGCATGTATACGCAGTACCCCGGTTACTGCAAAGTAAAGTTGAGTGCGCATGCGTCCAAAAGACACTTTCCAGTCGTTTCACCACAACAGTAGCGACATAAATAAACTGACCAACATAAATAAAGTGACCAAACGAGTAAAATGACTGTAAAATTAAGAGCTGCGCTAAACCTGCACACGTACAATCTGCACTCGTGTGACGCTGAAAAGCTAAAACATGAACTATCTCCTGTACAACACACGCACAGAACACACTTACCATCATCAGCGCCTCTTCTGTCACAAAAAGAACACACATAATCCACAGAGTCGTGTCATTTAGTCCAAAAGAAGCTGAACCACATCAGCGGCACAAGGAGCGAGTTGATTGTATCACCGCTAACAGTTTATGCTAATTAGCGTTGCGGTCTTAAGTTTTGTTTCTGTAAAACGTAAACAAATGTGATCAGAGCTGAATTATCTGATCAAACGGGCTGATGTGTCTATAGTGTTTATGGTTTATATGTTGTAAAGTTGAGTTTATTTATGCAGAAGATTTTAATGAAGAATCTGCACAGTGGATTGTGGGAGATCTCGTAGCTCCTTAGCTTCTTATGCTAAAGGAGCTCACGGTTTGTATTTTTCCAGGTTTATGAAATTGATTTAAGTAAATTTTTGCGCCTGCGCATTTGTAAGATTATGTCAAGAAACCGGGATACTCCATTTGATCATGTATACGCGGATATGAGTGTCCCGGTTTCTCAGTGCGCATGTAAACGCAGTAACCGAATACTGACATAACCGGGATATGGCTAATAACCGGGAAACTGATGTGCATGTATACACACTCTATGACTCACAGGTTGATGGTGCAATTCTGACAGTCTGTGTGTTGTGCGCTTTGGGCAAGACACTTAAGGAAACATTAATTTGGAATTATTATTTCCATGTAAACTCAAAGGAGAATAATTTAAGTCAGAACTATTTAATTCAGAATAATTAATCCTTAATAAAAAAAAAAAAAAACAGTATGTATGATGCCTTGCCCAAGAACACAACAACAGTCTGAACTGACTAGAGCTGGATTTGAGCCACCAACCCTCCTGTTATGAGATGACCTACCACCTGAATCCTGTTTTCACAATATTGAGAGTCACAAAACTATAGGGTAAAAACACTATGTAACTTTTCTGGTTTAAGGTCCGCCACCTGTTGGTATCCATGGCGATGTTATTACGGCATCCTGGGTTGACTTGTTAAAGGCGCACGACATATAACACCAGTGAGAGGTGAACTTTAACAGATCATTTTTAGACCAGTTTTAGCCCTGACCTTGTCCCCAGAGCGTGATGCACTGCTGTTCGTGGGTTTGGCAGATGCCGTTGTAGCAGTACCCGTCCACCAGGAGGCAGGCGTGTCCGTCGTGGAGGTAAACGTTGGGGGGGCAGTGGGGGCTCGTCCCGGTGCAGAACTCGGGCAGGTCGCAGGAGTTACTGGACTCACGGCAGGGGGTCCCGGCGGGCTTCAGCTGTGCACAGAGACATTTAAAAATCAAAAACTGTCCCAAGCGAGTTCAAGCAATTACAATAACAGACTGATTAAAAAGAGAAATAAATAAATGAACACTACACAATAATTAATTAAATGGTATCTATAATAGCTTTTTCACCATGTAACTTTTTGCTTGTTGGTCCCTCACCTGTTTGTTTCTACGGATGTGTCATTGCTCTGCCTGGAATGTTCCACGGTATGACTTTAAACAGCTCGACCTTTACATTTATTCAATTACAGGTGGATTTATAGCTCAAAAATACCTAGAGAAAGACATTCTGACTGTGAGCGGGGTCGCCTCGTCACAGAGCTGACCCGTAACTTAGGATCTGGTTTGGTTTCCATGAAGATTTAGAAAGGTCTAATGCCATACTGTGAAATATTCCAGACAATACAATAATATCTCAACAAATAAAAGCATTTGACCGACCCTCCACCAGAAAAGTTACACAATGCACCATTAAAGATCAGAAAAAGTTCGGCTTTTACTTAAAATTATATCTAAAATGAGTTCGTCTTGTTAACTTTTGACAGTATGAATTAATGATTTATGAAAAAAAATGTAGATTTGAAGATTTTTGTTCATAATGGAGCAGTCCTATAAAGCATTTTTTCCCAAAGACTGATCTGGATACATTGAAATATTAAGACATGTTTTGTATAATTTCTAATATTTTTGTAATTATTTTATTGACTATTTTGTTCCAATATTGTTGGGTCAGATAAATGTTGAAAGGAAAAAGAAATGGGCTACGCTTAAAGTCCAAATAGGCGACTTATGGATCCTTTTATTGCTGCTTCAATTTTTTCATAAAACTTGAGTAATACTAACTTTTCAGAGAGACACGATCACTCAGTCGACAATAAAATATCCTCATTAATGTTCAATAATGGTCAAATCCACCTTTATTTTGTGATTTATGAATAATGCCTATTGACTTGGGTCGTGAAGGTTTGTTAAAATATGGATATATCCCCAGAAAAAAACTTTGGGAAACCCTGCTATAAAAGGTCATTGCAATAAAACGGTCCATTATTGATCTGTCTAGACCAGGATCAAATAAGAATTTGGTTTGGAAGGCGAATAACTCGGGCTGAACCACAATGTAAAAAACACATGCACATAAACTCGAAAGAAATATTACACTCTTTCTATTTCAAAGTGTAATTTTTATAAGAAATTGTTATATTCTGACCACATTTTTATTAGATTTTTTTAATTTTGAGTTTGAGAAAAGGTTCAAAATGATGTAATATAAAGCCAAAGTCAGTACTTAAAGATGATATGTTACGCAAAATACAGGCATCATGAATTTCAAACATCCGGTTAGGGGTGGGCGATATATCGATATTTTAAATATATCGAGATTTTTAAACTCGATATGAATTCTGACATATCGTATATATCGATATAATGCTTATATTCAATTCTGATTTCGTCTCTTCGCTTGTTTACCTTCTCTCTCGTCGCCCGCGCGCCCTCGCCTCCCTGATTTTGTTCGCTCGTGTCTCCTTCACTCGTCACTATCGCCGTGAACGCTGAAAGTTGGTGCCAGTGAAAAGCTTCTAGCGCCACGAACCTTTTCCACCATTTACAGACAAAACCACCAGCAGCACATCCTCATATTCCACCGAGTCGCGTCCTTTAGCCCGAAAGAAGCTAAACGAGCTGAGCTGCATGAGAAGTGCGCTGTTTATGCAAATGAGCCATGCGCTTAAGTTTCGTTTCTGTAAAATGTAAACACACGTGCGCAAAACTGTATTAAACACATTATTATCTCAAACGGGCTGATGTGGCTCTAGAGTCGTTATACTTTATATATTGTAAAGTTTAGCAATGTAAAGTTTATTTATGCAGAAGATTTTAATTAATAATCTGCTGCAGTGTCACTTGTACAATAGTGTTTGGAAACATTTGATTTGATCTGCAGTGGATTGTGGGATTAAACCTCACAGCTCCTCACTGCTGGATAGAAACATGGATCTATTGAAATAAGGAACATTATGAGCTTCTTCTGCTAAATGAGCTCATGGTTCTGGTTCTGGTCTGGATAACAGAGTTAATGCAAAGATGAGCTTGTGTTGAGTTGTTTTATTTATGAATGAAAAGGAGGAAATATATATTATTATTTCTTTTTATTTTCCAGTTAAATTATTATTTATGTAATTAGGGTTTTGTAATCTTAAATGTTCCTGTATGAACTGCCGACCTCTTACACTTCAATTAAAAAAAAAAAGACCCTTGTGGAATTTGGCAGATTTGTTTTTGCAGTTTTCAGTTTTAGGGGATTATTTTTTCTTGAACATATATCGAGATATAGCAAAATATATCGAGATATATTTTTTGATCCATATCGCCCAGCCCTTACATTCATTGCACAATGCATACTCGGAAGGATTTTCCAAAAAAAGTGAGCATCAAACCGCCATGTTTGATTTCCAGTGTTGGGAGTAACGCGTTATAAAGTAACGAATTACAGTAATGCATTACTTTTTGCTGTAACGCAGTAATATAAGGCATTACAGGGGAAAAAAATGAAATATTTTACTCGGTACAAATGTGAGTAACGCGCGTTACAATGTTTTTTTAACCTGGATTGAAGTGGTGGGTTTTTCTTCATACAAATTTGCTAAAATCACCTCGATATCAGCAGCGGTGAAACGCCGGAGATGCGCCCTCATAGACCTTCAGGTAACCGCGGGCGAAAAGGACTGACAAAGAACTCCACGCTGTTTAACCTGGTTAGACCTGGGTCAGTTCTGGTTTAGACCTGGTTTACTCGTCCCTCCCTCTATCGCAGTTCACTTTTCGCTGTTCGCAGATTTTTTATTTTTTTATTTTTTTTTGGTGCAATTTTGCATGCCCTGTTTTTTTTTTTTTTTTTGTATGAATGCGTATTGCGTTCCTCCGCTGCGTCCTGACTGGCCAAGGGACTCCTGTCTCCTGTACAGTACAGAATGTGTTCAGCTGCCAAATTTAAATACATGTTCATCTTAGCAGTGTGATTCTGAGTGCTGTACGGTTGCAAGTTTTTCCCCGACGAAACCCACAACGTCGACGAAACGTTCTGCACCGACAAAGGCTCCTGCATCGCACCCAAAAGGCAGAGGAAGATGCAAACCATCACACAAAAAGTTGGACTTCTGGACACATTGAAGGAAGGTAGAAGTTACGCGCTGTAACAGAGTCTTACCGGCTCGGGTACCTGCAAATAGTTGCTGAAATCAGGGCCGTGAGCCCGAGCAGCAGGGTGATAAAGAGCGATCGGGTGACAGCCGCTCTTACCTCCATGAGGTGTGGAGCAGAGCCGCTCCTTTCTCCTGCGGTCACCTTCGAGCCCGTCCTGACAGTGAGTCCTGTTTTAGTCCTAGTTCAGTTCTAGTTTAGTCCTGGTTCAGCTCTGGTTTAGTCCTGTTCAGCTCTGGTTTAGTCCGGTTTAGACCTGGTTTAGTCCTGGTTCAGTCCATATACAGAGCAAAAGTTATTTTGGTGAGAGTAACTTAAAGTAATGCAATAGTAGTGTAATTGCCTTACATTTTAAATGCAGTAATATTGTAATGTAACAAATTACTTTGAAATGACAGTAATAGGTAATCAATAACGCATTACAGTTTCAAAGTAACTTGCCCAACAGTGTTGATTTCCCAGTGGGATATTGTTAAAGCCGATCTTTTCAAGTCTTTTGAACCTTATCGCTTTTGTTTCTGGTTCTGATATTGTCATAATTTAGTTTTGGGTTTCAGACGTCATAATTATGTGGTTGTTGGATGTCCTAACGGCTCGAGAAATTTGTTTGCGAACTTCATAACTGCAAAAGGGAATCAGATGTGTGTGATTGCAAATTCAGTTCAAACTGAATTGAGAAATAGTGAAAGGCGAAGGTGATGGGCAGTAATGATACACAGGAAAGATGAAAAAGGAAACCTTTGATTGCCTAAGAAATCATCCAGAGTTTGCAGCGAACATTTTGTATGTGAAGCGCCATCAAAGCAAAATCCCGATCCCTCGCTCAACCTTGGTTACGAATTTAAAAAGTCAACGCCAAAGCAAAAGGCAGCAGCAGTTCGCCAAGAAACACCTTCCACTGAAAAGCGACCAAGACGTGATGTCACTGTAAAGCCACAAGAACAAGAAAGTGCGAGCTCAGTTTGTTTGTCTTCTGGACCTCTCGCTTAACAAACGGGATCCCGCTTTGATGGAGCTCCACATACAAAATGTTCGCTGCAAATTCAGGATGATTTTTTGGCAGCCAAAGGTTTCCTTTCTCATCTTTCCTGTGTATCAGTACTGTCCATCGCCTTCACCTTTCACTATTTTTCAATTCCGTTGGGAAGGGAAACAGTTTGAACGGAGGTTTGCAGTCACACAGATCTGATTCCCTTTTGCATTTATGGAGTTTGCAAACTTCCAAAGCCCATTTCTGGAGCCGTTTTCCGCTGTTAGGATCCAACAACCACACAATTACGATGTCCGAATCCCAAAACTAAAATATGACAATATCAGAACCAGAAACAAAAGCGATATGGCTCCAAAGACTTGAAAAGATCGACTTTGACAATAGATGCATCCCACTGGGAAAACAAACATGGAGGTTTGATGCTCACTTTTTCAGAAAATCATTCCCAGTATGTATTGCACAATGACCGGAAGTCCGAAATTCGTGATGCATCTATTGACTCTTGTGAGCTTTATTATTATTCTGTCTACATCTCCTAAAGCTCAAAATGCTCTGTTCCACCTTGTGATGTCATGAAGCGGGCCTGTTAACAGTTATAGTCAGATTAGTTGGTACCTGGCAGTCGTGGCAGCACTGTCCATGGGCACAGACGGCATCCCCTTTAAGAGTACACGTGGTGGCATTACAGCACGGGTTCATACACTCCTGGAACAGAGGAAACACCAAATATGGACATGAGAGAGAGAAAAGAGGAAGAGAGGAAGAGGGGGACAGATAAACCCAATACACAGGAGACGGTTTTATCAGGGCGAACAGGGGTCAAAGGAAACACACACGACAACATACTGAGCAAACAGACATGAAAACGTGCTTTCTGTCTGACATATGTTGCTTTTCACACTTTGGTCCTGGTTTAGTCCGGATCTAGTCCAGGTTTGGTCCCAGTTTAGCCCCAGTTTTTTTGACAGTAGATGGAAAATTACTATAAAAACGTCATGGATCTATTAAAATAAGGAACCTCCCAGAGCTCATGGTCCTGGTTATCGTTTGGTTAATGCAAAGATGAGCTTGACTTGAGTTGAATTGTTTTATTTTTGAATGAAAAAAAGACAGTATGTTTTATTTCTTCCTTTATTTTACATTTAAATTATTATTTTTCTATAATATCTCAGATGCACTTTGTTTCTGCATGAACTGCCTCTTTGCACTTAAATAAAAACGATCTTGTGAAATTTGGCATATTTTTTGTTTTTGCAGCAGGTTTTGGGGGGTTATTTTTCCTGTACAAACATCGAGATATGTATCGTATATCGAAATATCGTAAAATATATCAAAATGTATCTTTTGCTCTATATCGCCCTGCCCTAAAAGGTCCTATGTTTCACAAAATTGACTCTTGTGATCTTATAATGTTGTTACCTCCTCAAAAACAAACCTGGAGTTGTGTTTTGTTTCATTCACACATGTTTGAGTAAATCTTTATTATTATCTGCTTACGTCTTCAAATCTCCAAATGCTCAGTTCCACCTTGTGATGTCATGTGAACTCAAGTCCGAGTCAAGTCCCAAGTCAAATACAGACAAGTCCAAGTCGAGTCTCAAGTCACTGGCCCATAAAGGTTGTATGGAGGATTTTTTTTTGTTTCAAACCGTCAGTGAAAGATTAAAATACCATTACAGAGACGCAGCAGCTTTGTAATTATGATGACCAAAAAAAAAAGAACGAAAATCTATATCAACTGTGGACGTGTTGAGGCCAGATAAACATCAGCCAATAGAAAACGAGGCTCCCTCATTTTCTATTGGCTGTTAGGTTGTCAATCAAACTCCCTAGTATAACTGACTCGTCGGAGCGCGGGGATTACGTGGTTTACGCAGCGGTTCTTAGAGGCTTTTTCGAACTGTCGCTTCCTCGCATTTCGCACAAAGTTTGTTGCGACGGCGGACGAGAATCCACGACCGGTTCGCCGCAAAAGAAAGTCAGTTTTTGAGGTCGCTGAAAGAAGAAGAGAAGAGGAAATGGAGCAAAACCAAACTGAGGTGATTCTTGGAGATCTTTCTCTCTATGCCCCTCTTTCTCTATCCCTCTCCCCCTCTCTCTGTCTCCCTAGTTCCCTCCCTCTCTATCCCCCCTCTCTATATCTCTCTCTCACTCCCTTCTTCCCTTCTCTCTCCCTCTTCCTTTCTCTCTCTCTCTCTTCCTCTTTCTCTCTCTCCCTGCCTCGCTCTCTCTCTATCCCTCTCTCCCTCTTTCTCTCTATCTCCCCCTCTGTCTTTATCTCTCCCTCTCTTTTCCTCTCTCTCCCCAATCTCTTTCTCCCTCTCTCTCCCTTCCTCGCTCTCTCTATATCCCTCTCTCCCACTTTCTCTCTCTCTAGCCCTCCTCTTTCTCTTTATGTCCCCCTCTCTCTTTCTCTCTCTTCCTCTTTCTCACTCCCTCTCTTCCCTCTTCTCTCCCTCCCTCTCTCTCTCTTTCTCTCTCTCTCTTGTCCTCTCTTTTCCTCTCTCTCCCCAATCTCTTTCTCCTCCCTCTCTATCGATCTCTCTCTCTCCCTCTCTTTCTCTCTCCTGCCCTCTTTCTCTCTCTCCTCCTCCTTCTCTTTCTCCCTCTCACTCATTCCCTCACTCCCTCTCTCCTCTCTCTCTAACCCTCTTCCTCTCTCTCTCTTCCTCTCTCTCCCTCCCTTGCTCTCTCTATATTTATCTCTCTGTCTTTATCTCTCTCTCTTTTCCTCTCTCTCCTCAATCTCTTTCTCCCTCTCTCTCCCTTCCTCCCTCTCTCCCGCTTTCTCTCTCTCTAGCCTCTCTGCCCCCCTCTCTCTTTCTCTCTCTTCCTCTCTCTCCTCCTCTTTCTCCCTCTCCCTCTCTCTCACTCCCTCTCTTCCCTCTTTCTCTTCCTCTTTCCCTCTGTCCCCCTGTCTTTATCTCTCTCTCTTGTCCTCTCTTTTCCTCTCCCTCCCCAATCTCTTTCTCCTCCCTCTCTATCAATCTCTCTTCCTCTTTCTCTCCCTCCCTCTCCCTCTTTTTCTCTCTCCCCCTCTCTTTCTCTTTCTCCCTCTCCCTCATTCCCTCACTCCCTTTCTCCCCCCTCTCTCCCTCTTTCTCTCTCTCTCTAGCCCCCCTCTCTGTTTCTCTCTCTTTTTCTCCTCCTCTTTCTCCCTTCCTCTCCCTTATTACCTCACCACCTTTCTCCCCCTCTCTCTCTCCCTCTTTCTCTCTCTTTCTCTCCTCCTCTTTCTCCCTTCCTCTCCCTCATACCCTCACTCCCTCACCCTCTCTCTAACCCTCTTCCTCTTTCTCTCTCTCCTTCCCTCTCCCTATCTCCCCCTCTCTCTTTCCTCTTCTCTTTCTCTCCTCCCCTCTTTCTGTCAATCACCCAGCCCTCCCTCTACATCCCTCTCTCCTTCCCTCTTTCCCTCTCATCCCTCCATTATTTGAGACCACACTGGAGTGAGATGGACGGAGCGCTGGAGGAGCCTGAAGCCATTACGAGGGCTTTTCCCATGATCCCGCGGGGCAGAGGAGGAGGAGAGCGGCTCAGAGGCGTGACCGGTGATTCACGATGGAGAGCGGTTTTAATGAGGACGAGGTGGGACCGTCACGGAGTCGACTCGGTTTAGGATCAGGATTTGTCGTCTCTGCGGGCGACGCTCGCGCAGTGTGGACGGACTCACAAGTGTTTTAATAGACAAGGATATTAGGGGATATATGAAGGACAGACAGACCATTTCTCAAAAAAAAAAAAAAAAAAAAAAAATCAATAAATTAATAAAAAAATAAAATTATAAATAAATAAAATAAATACTTATAAATAAATAAATACATACATACATAATAATAACAATTTCACTTGAGTTCTTTCTAAAATAAAACTACTTTGACCCAGCGAGTACCCTAAAAGTAAAAGTATATTGTGTCGTGATAAATAATGATAAATCACAATACAAAAATACAACAAAAAAATATATATAATAATGATACAAAATCTATCAATAAATTAAAAAAATAATAATAATAAATAAATAAATAAATAATAATAACAATTTCACTTGAGTTCATTCTAAAATAAAACTACTTTGACCCAGTCTCTATCAGTACAAGTATACTGTGTCGCAGTGATAAATAATAATAAATCACAATACAAAAATAATTAAAAAAAATTAAAAATAAAAATAATAATAATAATGATTTAAAAAATCTATCAATACATTTTAAAAAATGAATAAATAAAAAAATAAAAAGATAAATAAATAATAACAATTTTACTTGAGTTCTTTCTAAAATAAAACTACTTTGACCCAGTCTTTAATAGTAAAAGTATATTGTGTAGCAGTGATAAATAATGATAAATCACAATACAAAAATAAAATAAAATTAATAAAATAAATAAAAATAAAAATAAATAAATAATAACATTTTCAGTTGAGTTCCTTCTAAAATAAAACTACTTTGACCCAGTCTCTAACAGTAAAAGTGCATCATGTAGAGGTGATAAATAATGATTTAAAAAACAAAAACAAACTATCAATAAAAATAAATAAATAAATAAATAAAACATAATAAATAAATAAATAAAATACAATACAAAAAAAAAAATAAAAAATAAAAATACAAGAAATATAGGTAAGAACAGTGCAGTAGACAGGGGGTAACAAAAGGGTCTGTTGTTCCGGGCTCCAGGGTTTTAGGGGCCCGGAAAAGGCTCTATTCACACTTACATCACAAACCAGGAAGTTGTTTGGAAAAATGCGATAACAACTTCCGGCTTCCGACTCTGCTCGCGGTAGTAAGTCTGACAAAATGACCCAGTTTTGTTCATCTCCATGTCACTGTAGTGTTCCGTTATGTTCAGCTAATCAACAATTCCAACTACACCTCAGTTTTCATCATTTCCGCACTGACACACAACTCCGAGCGCAGTGGGAACATGCGATTAGAAGAGCCAGATTTATGGAGTAAGAAAGCTGTCAAAAATATTTGTGCGCGTAAAATAGAAATCCGTGCGTATTTGGGAAATCCGTGCATATTTGGCTGTAGTTGCGCATAAAATAAATATTTGTAAACTCTCAAATGAGTCCAGTCGTACATAAAATATATTGTGTGTATTTTATCCATCAGAATACGAATTGAAAAATTACGACGTCATGAATTACAATCACGAAATGAAAATTTACGATTACGCTTTCATCAGTACGAATACGAATTCACAGACGGAACTTTACTGTCAAAAATACGTCATCACTTCACAGACATTATCCATCGAGCAGAAGAAACATCGATCAAGATCAAGACTGCGCAGCTCAAGTTTGTAGCAGAGTAAAAACAGAGTAATAGCACAAGAAGCTACAACAGAGAACAACAAGTGGGTTAATTAAAATCTATTGTAAAAATGTCTAGAATTCGGGAACCGAACGCTGCTGTATAATATTGTGTAGAAACACCTCCTTTGAACGGGAAATTGCACCTATATGTTAGAAAACATAGTGGAGCCAGTTGGCGAACATCCGACGTAACGTTATCCCAGGGCTAATTAACAAATATCAGGTTCTCTGTATGTTTAGATTAAAACATTCACGGCTACAGCCACTCTGTGTTTACCCTCTGCTACAAACTTGAGCTGCACAGTCTTGATCTTGATCGATGTTTCTTCTGCTCGATGGATAATGTCTGTGAAGTGATGACGTATTTTTGACAGTAAAGTTCCGT